ATCATACTGGGAGCAACTGGGACCATGCAGGGGGCAAATGGCATCGTCCAGGCAGTGACTGAAAGTGCCTGGGGCCAGACTGGACTCAGACTGGGAGTCCCTGAGAGGGAAAGGAACCATCCTGGGGAGGCTGGGAGTAACTGGGACCACCTTGGGGCAACTGGGATCCTATTGGGAGTGACTGGGACTGACTGGGAGTGACTGGGATCCTAGTGGGAGTGACCAGGCCATACTGGAACCATCCTGGGAGTGACTGTCAGTGCCTGGGATCATACTGGGAGCAACTGGGATCATGCTGGCAGCACAAAGGACAGAGGGAGGGGAGGGGAAAAGGGAAGGGAGGGAAAGAGAGGGGAGAGGGAATTTTAGAAAGTATAAAGAGGAAAGAAAGACAAAAAAAAATAAGAAAAATAAGAGAAAAAGCCAAGTTTCAATATTCAGTAAATGTGTGAGTCCCTGAGAGCTCCCAGGTCAAAGGCAGGGGAAGTGTTTGCAGGGGACAGGAGCCTGTTCAGGGCTCAGGAGCTGCTGCTGCCCAAAGGGAGGAAACGCACCGAGGGCTCGGAGCAGAGTTTGTGCTTTGGGGCCTTTGCCAAGAACCCGCAGGAGGGAAAGCAGTTCCAGCCAGGGGGGCCCAGGGGCTCCCAGGGTGATCTCAGTCACTTTTAGTCACATCCAGTCTGATCCCAGCATGATCCCAGTCACTCCCAGTCTGATTCCATTCTCTCCTAGCAGGATCCAAGTTACCCCCTGCAAGGTCCCAGTTGCTCCCAGTCAGTCCCAGTATAATCCCAGTCAGTCCTGGTGTCTCCCACTATATCCCAGTTGCCCCTAGTGTGGTCCCACTCACTCCCAGTTGTTCCCAGTAGCTTCCAGCATGATCCCAGTTGCTCACAGCCACTCCCAGTCACTCCCAGTGTGCTCCCAGTCGCTCCCACTATAATCCCAGTTACCTCCAGCATACTTGCTCCCAGTATATCCCAGTTGCGTCAGCATGGTCCCAACTGCCCTCAGAATGCTCCCAGTCACTCCCAGGATGACCCCAGTCACCCTCACTGTGGGCCCAGTTGTCCGAGCATGGGCCAAGCAGGTCCCACTGTGATCCCAGTGTGATCCCACTTGTCTCCAGCATGGTTCCACTTGCTCCCAGTTCCTCCCAGTGTGATCCCAGTTGCCCTGAGCACAGACTCAGTCACTCCCAGTATGATCCTGGTATGATCCCTGTATGATCCCAGTACAATCACAGTTACCCCTGCATGGTCTCAGTTGCTCCCAGTTGCCTCCAGCACAGATCCAGTCAATCCAAGTGTGATCCCAGTCTTCCCTCAGCATGGTCTCAGCCAATCCCAGTTGTCCCTTTGTAGATCCAGTCACTTCCAGTTGCTCCCAGTCTATGCCAGTTGCCTCCAGCATGCACCCTGGCACTCCCAGTCACTCCCACTTGCTTCCAGCATGGTCCCAGTTGCTTCCAGTTCCCCCTCTGTAGTTCCAGTCACTCCCAGTATGATCCTGGTCACTGACAGTCACTCCCAGGACACTTCCAATGTGGTCCTGGCCACTCTCACTATCATTCCAGTCACTCCCAGTCACTCCCAATTGGATCCCAATTGCCCTCAAAGGTGGTCCCAGTTGCTCCCAGTCCCCCCCAGGATGGTTCCTTTCCCTCTCAGGGACTCCCAGTCTGAGTCCAGTATGGCCCCAGGCACTTTCAGTCACTGCCTGGAGGAGGCCTTTTGCCCCTGCATGGTCCCAGTTGCTCCCAGTATGATTCCACTAGGAGTCCAGTCACTCCTAGTATGATCCCGGGAACTTGCAGTACGAATCCAGTTTGATCCCAGTCATCCCCAGTATGGTTGCAGTCACTCTCACATACTCCCAGTATTATTGCAGTCACTCCCAGTATGATCCCAGGATGATCCCAGTTGCCCCCAGCGTGGTTCCAGTAGCCCCCATTCACCCCTACTGTGTTTCAGTCACTCCCAGTATCATCCCTGTCACTCCCAGTCACCCCACTAGAGTTCCACTCCCTCCCAGTCCCTCCCAGGACCATCCCAGTAGCTCCCAGTGACACCCCAGATGGTGGCACTCACACCCAGGATGAACCCAGACATGCCCTGGCACTCCCAGGATAAAGCCATTTGCCCCCAGCAGGGTCCCAGTTCCTCCCAGTCACTGACTGTGGTTCCAGTTGCTCCCAGGATGATCCCTTGCACTCCCAGTCACTCCCATTATGATCCCAGTCAGTCTCAGTATGATCCCAGTCCCTCCTGGTCTCTCCCAGTATATCCCAGTTGCTGCCAATGTGGTCCCACTCACTCCCACTTGCTCCCAGTAGCTTCCAGCGTGATCCCAGTTGCTCACAGCCACTCCCAGTCACTGCCAGTGTGGTCCTAGTTGCTCCCAGTTTTTCCACTGTGATCCCAGTTGCTCCCAGTTGCCCTGAGCAGAGACCCAGTTGCTTTCAGTATGATCCCTGTCTGATCTCAGTCTGATCCCAGTCTGAATCCCAGTAATATCCCAGTATTATCCCAGTACAATCACAGTTGTCCCCAGCATGGGCCAAGTTGCTCCCAGTTGCCTCCAGCACAGATCCAGTCAATCCAAGTGTGATGCCAGTCTTCCCCCAGCATGGTCCCAGTCAATCCCAGTTGCCCCATTGTAGATCCAGTCACTCCCAGTCACTCCTAGTGTGGTCCCAGTCGCTCCCAGTATGATCCCAGGAACCTCCAGCGTGATCCCACTTGCTCCCAGTATATCCCAGTTGCACCAACATGGTCCCAACTGCCCTCAGAATGCTCCCAGTCATTCCCAGTATGACCCCAGTCACCCTCACTGTGGGCCCAGTTGTCCCCAGCATGGGCCAAGCTGCTCCCAGTTGCCTCCAGCACAGATCCAGTCAATCCAAGTGTGATGCCAGTCTTCCCCCAGCATGGTCCCAGCCAATCCCAGTTGCCCCACTGTAGATCCAGTCACTCCCAGTTGCTCCCAGTTGCCCCCCACATGGTCCAAGTCACTCCCAGTGTGCCCCCAGTCACCCCCACGATGGTTGCAGACTCTCCCAGTAGATCCCAGTTGCCCTCAGCATGCTCACAGTCATACCCAGTTACTTCCACTTGCCCCAGGATGCTTCCAGTTCCCATCAGTACAATCCCAGTCACTCCCAGTCCATGCCAGTTGCCTCCAGAATGCACCCTGTCACTCCCAGTCACTCCCACTTTCTTCCAGGATGATCCCAGTTGCTCCAAGTATGTCCCCAGTTGGCTTCCAGTATGGCCCCACTGGTTCCCAGTTCCCCGCTGAATACTTGCAGTCACTCCCAGTATGATCCCAGTCACTTACAGTCACTCCCAGGATGGTTCCAGTATGGTCCTGGTCACTCCCACTAGGATCCCAGTCACTCCCAGTTGGATCCCAGTTGCCCCCAAGGTGGTCCCAGTTGCTCCCAGTATGATCCCACTATGAGTCCAGTCACCCTCAGTACAATCCCAGTAACTTGCAGACACTTCCAGTACGAATCCAGTTTGTTCCCAGTCACTCCCAGTATGACCCCAGTCACACTCACTGTGTCCCCAATTTCTCCTAGCATGGACCAAGCTCTCCAACTGTGATCCAAGTATGATCCCAGTACTCCCCAGCATGGTCCCAGTTGCTCCCAGTTTCTCCCAGGATGATCCCAGTTGCCCCCAGCGTGGTTCCAGTTATTCCAATTCACCCCTATTATGGTTCCACTCACTTTCAAACACTCCCAGTATATCCCAGTTGCCCCCAACATGCTCCCAGTTGCTCCCAGTATGATCCCAGTTGCCCCAGTTCTGGTCCTGCTGGCTCCAGTCCAGGTCTCGGTGTATCCCGGTGTCCCCCCTGTCCCCCCACCCCGCTCTCACCCCCTTTTCTCTCCCCACAGAGCTCCTGAGCCGCCGGCGGCCGCAGCCCCTCCCCGTGGCCTCGGGCCCAGCCGGGACCCCCCAGTCCAGCCCCACCTGCACTTTGGGGGGGTTGTGTGTCCCCCCCGGCCCTGCTTTTGTTCACACCCCAGCCGGCTGCTCCCAGTGCTCCCAGTAAAGCTTCCCAGTTCTCTGCAGTCCCGGTTTTTGGGGGGGCAGTGAGGGGGCTCTGAAAATCCCAGGAATGGGGGGTTTGGGCACTTCCAGACCCACAAAATCCTTTGAACAGGGCTTTTGGGGACATTCAGACCCCAAAAATCTTGGGAACATGGGGGCTCTCCTAGATCCCAGAAGTTACAGGAACATCGTGGTTGGGGCACTCCCTGACCCCAAAATATTGGAAAAGAGGGGCTTGGACACTCCTAGACCATGAAACGCATGGGAATAGGGGGTTGGGGCATGCCCAGACCCTAAAAATCCCCGAGAAAGTTGGCTTGGGCACATCCAGAGCCCAAAATATTGGAAAAGAGGGGACTGGACACTCCCAGACCCTAAAAGTCCCAGGCAGAGTGGGATTTGGAAAACGTCACACCCCCAGAATCCCAGGAACTGGAAATTATTGGGCACTCGGGGCCACCCAGAACCTCATCCCCACGTATCCAGGACAACCCAAACGCCAACCCCAGGAATCCGGGAACTCCCAGAACCCACCTTGGACCCCCCAAGGCCCGGGCAGGGTCAGCAGCAGCAGCCAATGGGAGCGAGCGCTGTTGGTGCGTCATCAGCTGCCGGGCAGACCCGTCCGGAACGGAGCCCTCCCCGAGCTCAGCCAATCAGAGAACGCCCTCAACTCATTTTGGGGACCCGTGGGAGCTCCGGGAGCCCGGGATGGGCGGTTTTGGGGGTTCCCTGAGCTTTGGGAGCCCTGGCTGGGCATTTTTGGTGGGCCCTGAGCTCCCCCCTCCCCCGCAGCCCACGGACCCCCCGAACCCCCCAGCCCCGGGGCTGCCGCGGGGGCCCCCAACGGCCCTCAGCCAATCCCAAAGCGCCCACGCCGCCCGCGCCCAATCCCAGCGCGCCGCGCTGATGACTCATCAGTCGCCGGGAAGACGCCTCGAAAAAAGGGCCCCAACTGCGCCCTCAGCCAAGCCCAGCGCGCCCCAAACCCCCCAAAACGGCGCCGCCCGGCTGGTTTGGGGCTGTCAGCAGCTGTCCGGCGCTGGGCATGGAGCGTGTGCGGGGAGCTGGGGCCGTGCTGGCGGTGCTGGTGGTGCTGGGAGCCCCCCCGGCTGCGGGCGAGGAGCTGTCGGGTGAGTGGGGGGGACGGGGGGGGGTCGGGTGGGAAAGGGGGGGAAAGAGGGGAGAAAAGAGGGGGTGGGAGCCCCAAAAGTGAGTGGGAGGGGGGTCGGAAGGCCCGGAGTGAGTGGGAGGGGGGTGGGAGCCCCAAAGTGAGGTTGGGGGGGTCTGGGGATTGAGGGGCCGGTGGGAAAGGGGTGGGAGAGGGGGACAAGGGGGTGTGGGAGAGCAGGCAGAGGGGTGCCCTGGGGGTCCCTGGGTGTCCCTTGAGCCCTGGAGCGGTTCCCTGGGGCTCTGGGGTGGTCGGATCGGCATTGGGGGGGTCCCCAACCCACCTGTCCATCCCCGGGGGGCTGATGGGGGGGTTCCCCCCCAGCCAAGAGCCGGTGCTGGGGCGTCCGTGGGGCAGAGGGGGGTGGGAAGGGGGGTCCGGGGTGGCTCCCTGAGCTCCCACCCTGCTGTGGGGGGCTGGGGGATGATGGGGGGGGACGGGGCACCCCCTGACCCATGTCCTGCACACACAGGGGTGTTCCAGTTGTTGTCTCCGAGCGAGTGTCACTTCATCAACGGCACCGAGCGGGTGAGGCTCGTGGACAGGTACATCTGCAACCGGGAGCAGCTCCTGCACTTCGACAGTGATGTGGGGGTCTATGTGGGGGACACCCCGTTTGGGGAGATCCAAGCCAGGTACTTCAACAGCAACCCAGAAATCATTGAACGTAAACGGGCTGAGGTGGACACGTTCTGCCGGCACAACTACGAGGTGTACACTCCACCTGCTATGGAGAGGAGAGGTGAGCGTGGGGCACAGCGGGTCCCCTGGGCCCTCCCCCGGGAATGACTCTTGAGCCCCTCAAACCCTCACTGGGAATCACCCCAGACCCCACAGCCCTCCCTGTGCCCATCCCCTTGCCTTTTCCCCACTCCCAGTTCCTCCCAGTCCGTCCCAGTGTCTCCCAGTCCTTCCAATGCTCCCTAGTCACTCCCAGTCCATTCCAGTTATTCAGAGTCCATCCCAGTCCATCCCAGTCTCTCCCAGTGCCCCCCCCGCGTCTCCACCCCGCTGGGGCCACCGAGCTCCCGCCCCTCAGCCAATCCCAGCGCGTCCCTCTGATGACGCTCCAGTTGCCAGGCAGACCCAAACCAAAGACTTCCCTCACCACGACTCAGCCTCCCAGTCCCCATCGCTTCCTTCCCAGTCCACACCAGTCACTCCCAGTCCACACCAGTCACTCCCAGTCCCTCTCACCCAACTCCCAGACCCTCTCAGTCCATTCCCAGTCGTTCTCACTTCACTCCCACATCTCCCAACTCTCTCCTCAGTGCCCCCCCAGCCCAGCCCCTTCTCCCCCACTCTATTCCCAGTCCCTCCCACTGCCATCCCAGTCCCTCCCACTGCCATCCCAGTCCCTCCCAGTGCCCTCCAAGGCCTCTGCCTTCCCTCCCAGTACCCCCCAGCTGAGCCCAGTGTCTCCCCCGTCCCTGCCAGTGCCCCCCAGCGTGTCCATCTCGCTGGTGCCGTCGAGCTCCCAGCCCGGCCCCGGCCGCCTGCTCTGCTCCGTGATGGATTTCTACCCTGCGCCGGTGCAGGTGAGGTGGTTCCAGGATGGGCAGGAGCTGCCGGAGCACGTGGTGGCCACCGACGTGGTCCCCAACGGGGACTGGAGCTGCCAGGTGCTGGTGATGCTGGAAATCCCCCCCCGGCACGGGGTCACCTACAGCTGCCAGGTGGAGCACGTCAGCCTGGAGCACCCCCTCAGCCGGCACTGGGGTACGGCCCGGCCCCCCCAGCACCGGGGGGGCAACTGGGGGTGACTGGGAGGGAGTTTGGTGGGTGCTGGGGGTGATGGGAGGGGCGTTGGAGGGTCCTAAAGGGTCTGAGAGGGGCTGGGTGGGATCCCTGCAGGGGCTGGGAAGGGACTGGCAGGAGGTCGGAGGGACCCCCGGGTGGGCTGGGGGAGAGCGGGCCGGGCTCTGTGGGGTGCCGGGGGGTGCGTGGGAGGAGGTTTTGGGGGTGCTGACCCCCCGACTCCCCCCAGAGATGCCACCGGACACCGTCCGCAGCAAGATCCTGGTGGGGGTCGGGGGTTTCGTCTTGGGCTTGGTCTTCCTGGCGCTGGGGCTCGGCTTCTACCTGCGGGAGAAGGTAAAGGGGGGTCCCTAAATGGGGGTCGTGTCCCCCCCCTTGCTCTCCCACAGCCTCTGGGCCCCTTCCCCCCCGCCCCTTTGCTCTCACCCCCTTTTCTCTCCCCACAGAGCTCCTGAGCCGCCGGCGGCCGCAGCCCCTCCCCGTGGCCTTGGGCCCAGCCGGGACCTCCCAATTTTGCCCCGCCCGCACTTTTGGGGGTCGTGTGTCCCCCCCAGCCCTCTCAGAGAGAATTAAATAAAGGAGCGTTTGCACTGCCTCTTTCTGCAGACCCCGATTCTCCTTTCTTCAGCAGACTCACCTGATCAGGGTAAGATTTCTTTTTCCCCACGCGCATGACTTTGTTCCGTAGCGCCGGGGTCACGCTACCTGTAAACGGCTGCTTCTCCCACGTCCTTCTGTTCGCCTTACGTCCCTCAGAACTCGACGAAGAGGAAGTCCCGTCCTGTTTCGGGCACCAGTTATTGATGGGGAGGCACGAACATAAGCTCACAGACCCTTAGGATCGGCAATATGTCAATTTATTATTTAAATCAGTTAACTTTTATACAGTTTATTTGTTTAGGGCACATGCTCACAATAAGGTGATTGGATAGATCAGTCTGTGCACGTGTCTCATGTCCCCAGTTCATTGGACCTGATGTTCTGTCCACGCAATCTGAAATCATCCTTGGCATAGAAACCTCTTTCTAATTAATCTGCTTTTAGGGTTTTACTAAATTTGCAGGTGTTTCATTATCTTCAGTTTCTCAAGGTTTTCTTTCTATAAACATATCATGTTCTCAAACCTTATAATTAGACACACAGCTAACAAGTATAAGCATCACATATTTTCACACAGTCTATAAGTATAAACAATACACACTTGACACTTCCATGGCAAGCAAGGCCTACAGAGTGCAGGAAAAACTGTTCACAGAAATCTCTGTGTCCGGTGACACTAAACTCCTGCTCCCAGAGGAGCCTGGGGGCAGCTGGATCCAATCTCAGCCTTGCATTGTGCCAATGGTTTGAATTTAAGGAATTATAGAGATGGGATTGAACCAGTTTTGTCCCATAGGTTTTAATGATGGAAAAGCAGTTATATTTATATCAATTAACTACTTATTCTTAAAAATGATCAGACAAAAGGACTAAACCAGAATTATTTACTACACAACATACACACTAAAACTACCAGTAGTACAGGATAAGATATGACAGGGCAATACACTAAAGCAATTGTTGAAGCAATTCTACTAAAGGTGGCAACAAAGCAAGAATTCTTAATTAGAGATGGATGGAACTCCCCCGGACCAGCGCTCGTGGGGAGATCTCTGCTCTCAACCTCCAGCAGTGACCTTGGGGGGTCCCCAGCCAAGGCAGGAATCTCCACACACCCCCCAAGAAGGGTTCTGTTGGAAGAACCTGCCCCTGGGAAAGGGGACTGGCCCTTTCTGGTAGAAACCCATGGACTGACAGGCCTTGGACTCCAGGGCTTCCCTCACCATCAGGGGCTTCATTTGGGGTGAAACCAGTCTGGGGTCCAACATCTCCTGCCTTGGCCTGGCCCCCTCTCAGCTCAGCACTGACCCCTTTGCAAATGGGGCATTGTCTTGGTGCCATTGCAGGGGGATGTCCTGCCCCAGTGTCCCAGTGTTCCTTTAATTCCCAGAGGCCCTGCAGTGTCCCAGTGGCCCCTTGATTCCATGACCTTCGGAAACACCTCAGGGTTCCTTTGGTTCCATGAGGCCCCCATGTCCCAAAGGCCCCTGGATTCCAGGAATTCCGCAGTGTCACAAGGTTCCTTTTTTTCCATAGGGCCCTGCAGTGTCCCAATTGTGCCTTGATTCCAGGAGTATCCAAATTTTCCCGGGGTTCCTTTGGTCTCAGGAGGTCCCGCTCGAAGGCTTCACACAAAATCAGCATTTTTCTACAATCTTCAGCTGGGATTAAATGCATATTCAAGAGATTACAACATCTATCGATGCATATTAATAACAGGCGGAGTAGAGGTGGAGCTCAGGCGGGGCTTGGGGCGGTGTTTCTCTTGGCCCTCAATCCTGAGGGTACTTCCACTCTTCCTCCATGGCTCTGGGGGCTTCAACTCATCTTCCTCAGCTTGACCTTCCTTCTCTTCCATTCTTCTTGACCCGCTCACTGAAGCTTGGAAAAAGCCCTGGCTCCCGACCTATTCCTCCTATTCCAATGTCTCCCTGATCCTGCTGTCTCTCTAATTTATCCCCTCGAGGCCTAGGACATGTTCCTGTACTATTCTCTGAAGCTTTGCTCCAGTCAGTAGAACAGAACGAGCACAGATGGTCTTGGATGTTGGTAGCTTGTTAGCAGGCCCAAATTTCTGAGTTAACTCTTTTGGGCCTGGCCTCCTGTTTCCCCAGGGACACAGCCCGGGCCCGGCTGTTCCCATTCCCATTCCAGGGGTTTGCATTCCTGTTCCAGGTGTTCCCATCCCGTTCTAGTTGTTCCCATCCCATTCCAGGTGTCTCCATTCCCATTCCAGGTGTCCCCATTCCAATTCCAGGTTTTTCCATTCCCATTCCATGTGTTCCAATTCCCTTCCCAGCTGTTCCATCCCATTCTAGGTGTCCCCATTCCCATTCCTATTGTCGCTCCTCCCATTCCTGGTGTTCCCATCCCACTCCTGTTTTCCCCATTCCCAGTTCTTGGTGTTCCCATTCATATTCCAGGTGTCTCCATTCCCATTCCTATTGTCCCCATTCCCATTCCAGGTGTTCCCATCCCACCTCTGTTTTCCCTATTCCCATTCCAGGTGTTCCCATTCTCATTCCAGGTGTCCCCCTGCCAATTCCTGGTGTCCCCAGTCTGCTCCCAATGTTCCCATTCCCATTCCAGGTGTCCCCATTCCAATCCCAGGTGATCCCATTCCCATTCCTGGTGTCCCCAACCTGCTCCCGATGTTCCCATTCCCATTCCCAATGTTCCCATTCCCATTCCAGGTGTCCCCATTCCCATTCCTGGTGTCCCCATTCCCATTCCAGGTGTTTCCATTCCCATTCCAGGTGTTCCCATTCCCATTCCTGGTGTCCCCATTTCCATTCCAGGTGTTCCCATTCCCATTCCAGGTGTTTCCATTCCCATTCCTGGTGTCCCCATTCCCATTCCAGGTGTTCCTATTCCCATTCCAGGTGTTCCCACTCCAGGTGTTTCCATTCCAGTTCCAGGTGTTCCCATTCCCATTCCTGGTGTCCCCATTTCCATTCCAGGTGTTCCTATTCCAATTCCAGGTGTCTCCATTCCAATTCCTGGTGTTCCCATTCCCATTCCAGGTGTCCCCATTTCCATTCCAGGTGTTCCCATTCCCATTACTAGTGTTCCCATTCCAGGTGTCTCCATT